CAGAGGGTTTCCACTTCCCTCTTGTTTATTATAATTGTACTTTAAGGTATTTTATTTTCACACGAATTTCTTTTGGATCAACTTTTGGCCCATTGTATCAACCTTTGGTAAAGTTACAAACATATGCATATTTTTCTAATGTAATACTTGAAGTACCAGAGATCGAATAGAAAAATTATGAAATTAAAGTCAATTGAGATCACGTAAACTAGCATGGACTCTCGATACACGACAAACACTTGTAGCTACAAAAATTACAAATAAGTCAAGAAATTTTCATTCGTTCCTTATTTGTAAAACGACATTTTCAAGAATTGATTGAATAACTTACTTACAAGATTGACAGCTGTGCTAATCTCTGGATGCGTAACACTTTATTTAGGAAAAAATATCTATTAACAATTAAATAATATCAAACAATAGTAAATTCAAAAAAAAAATCCATGTATCTACTTAGATTTCTCATCAGTATCGATTTCCATATTACAATGCTATTGCTAACATTTCCTAAATATAATATAAACAAAAATCACAAAGTATATGCCCTCCTTTAATATTAATTTCAGGGGCACAAGTCTTGGCTCACCTTGGGCTATTGAGGCTTCAGCTTTTTCACATGGGATATGCTCTACAACTTCATTATCTATCAAAGTTATTTGATTTTCCTGTTTCCTTATTACTTCATAGCTACTCGTTTTGGTCAAATCTTGGAGTGCTTTTATTTGGCATTATCACATTTTGTACTTTTCTCACGTTTCTGACTTTGACCTGTCTTGGCTCTTCCGAATTTATTATCTTTTTATTGTGCTTTAATGTCGTTGTCCCTCGTCTTTAATATCTGCGATCGAAGGTATTGTTATAAAATAACAGAGACAGCACTCAAACCCATATCTCGAACGAATTGGTTAACCCCTGGATGTCCAGTGACTACTGGAATATTCGATGCGTTTGGCCTTGAACGAATAATCTAGCCGGCGAAATATTGATCTTCGTTACCGGAATTGCTTATTCTAGTAGCTCCATTTTTGGCATGATTTTTGTGTTATTATCTTGAACAAAACTTACTTCATTTTGGAAGAGTAATAGTAGTCTCACTTATGTACGACTCACTTAGGTACGTAAAAATCGGAATTATTGTGTATGTTCAAAACGGCACGACATATCTCAGAAAGAAAACATGAACAAGAACGCAGATAAAAGAAATAAAAACGGAAAGGCGAAAAGAAACGAGTAAAACAGATCATGCTGTAGAACATTTTGCAAGAACAAGAAAACAAGCGACTGAAAGATAGTCACAAAGTACTTGAATAAATATACAAGATATCGCAAGGATTTCAAATGCCAACCTACAATTGAATCCAAAATTGTATTTCCTAATCATTCAGGAAAGAGTGAACGGAAAAAAACAAACATCGGTTAGGTGTGAGGTTCTTGATCTTACTTTTTGTAGCCACGATATCAGCGATAACATTACGAATTAGCATGTCTCCGACGAACCATTATGCTCGAACCATTGGCATATAAAATTCGATATCACAACTTCAAACGTCGAAATCAGGAAATTTCACAACCCAAGGACGACAAATTAGCAAGGCTATGAAATAGCCCTAAAAGAGTTACTCATAGGGGGAGCAGTAACTATTTCCACAACGAAGGGTCTAGATCTGGCAGTGGATCAGCTGAACGAGGCAATACAAATAACCTATTAGGAAAACTATCCAGATCAGACAAGTCAGCAAAGGAAGAATACACTCTGGTGGAACAATCACCTGGAGGGTCTCCATCATCAACTTAAGCAAGGATTAAAATGTCACCAAAACCATTGTTTGATCATGTAATAATAAAATCATTTACCTACTTACCACTACTATGAAAAATACAGATTTTACCATGATATTGCGGTTCTCGAGGGTCGACACTTATCCGCATTACTTTTGGGTTTAAAATAAAAAAAAGTAAATATAATATTTTTAATATGCTCTGTGTATTTATTTGAGATTTCGTATGACAATAGGTTCCAAGATTACTGCGCCACGTTTTGTACCATTCCATAGATAGAGGTAAAGTTTTATGCCAGAACATGTTGATTATTTTTCAAAATAAATATTTAAGTGGTGTCTCGCAATGATTTCTATATTATCTGTAATGGTTTTGGTTGGGTTGAAAAGTAAAGAGAGGAAACTGGTATATTCTTTAAGGATTATTAGCAGAATACTTACATCCCTTTCAGGAAATTAAATTCTCAAGAGAAATTTATAAATATGTCATTTAATGCTGGAAATTCCTTTATTTTTATGTGCATCCACTTCTTCAGATGTAGAAAATCATATACACATGAAATTGGAGTGCAGGAGAAAGCAAAATAATTTTTTCAATCTTCACCTTTGGTAAGTTGAAACTTTGACGTAATTTTTGAAATCGTACTCATAAGCTTCCTCTATTCCAGTTTAGTAAATATGTTCTGTGTTGGATGCGGCTTTAGCCACCAACTTTATGCTGATAACAGCATGAACACTTATATTTTTATGTATAATAATTATTATTAGGCATGTCCTATATGACCATATTTTCCCTATGCCATTTGGTAAGTTTCTGATGTATACACCCCAAGCCCTCCCCATAACTCCCATATTTTTGTAACTTGTAGAACTTATGCTGATGATGGATCTATGATAGATCCGAAACACACCCTTCCAACTGATTATTTTTGTAAAATAAAGAGTGAAGATAGACTGTGTGTTTTACTCCAGTTCTTTAACTATTCTCTTCACTGTGAGACATGGACTACTATTTCAAAACTTTTCTAAATTCTCCTGGAAGCGAACTGCGGTGTAGATATCGCAAGTTTTTATTTTTTCTATAAAAGAGTCGGGAAATAATATTTCATGGTTGCTATGAACTATTTTTCAAAATGGACAGAAGTAGTTTCAATGACCAAACAAAGCATCGGTCACAGTTGTTGGAGCATTACTGGAAAACATCATAGCCAGACACGATGTGTTGGTGGAACTTCATACCGATCAGGGTGAGAATTTTGATTCCGGAGTGTGGATACAACCGATAAGGTTACTGGTGATAAGGAGAATGGCGACGAATATACGAGAGGCACAATCAGACCATCAACCAATCCTCTCGATGTTAGTGAATAAGCACCAGCGAGTCTGGGATAAACTGGAGCATCCTTCTTTTTGTCTTCTAGAAGCTCTCTGCTTTCTGCATGAACCCAACGGCTATAGGTACAACATTAATGAGGTTGCTTCAAAGAGAAATGTAGCTTTTCGTGAATTGGATAATTGTTAAACCACTGGCCGGTGAAGACGAAGCTGCACTATCTATGTGGCAGATCTCGAGCATAGACTCAGTGGTTCACGATTTCGCCAGCAATCGACAAAAGTGACAGAATTAAGATGAAACGCGATAAGCGGAAGCCATTGAATACCTTAAATGAAGTCAAATCCGTTCGGTCATATGAGACAAGATCGTCAAGAAGATCAAACGATGTGGTACAGAGAATTCAACTTTCGACGAAAGCCAAGCCAAGAGTCATTCACATTGAGAAGCTAGCCCGATATAGTAGCAAGAATACACCGACTTGGAAGCGACCAAAAGGAGCAGTTCAGAGCGGATGGATTATTATGAGATTACAGAGTAGCTATGGTTTGGACGATGAAAGGTTTCCGAACTTACATCGAAGCTCTTCATATCGTGGTAATAGAAACTGACCATCAACCTCTGAAATGGTTTATACCAATCAAACCGTCGACAAGGAGTTGAGGACGAAATAATAAGATGATCCAAGTCTCGCATATGATTATTTTATCTCAGCCGTTCAGTTGTAATATTAATTTAATACGAATCAATAACTTGTATTTGACTGGAGGTGTGCAGCTACCTAAACTAAATATAATATTTTTTTTTTTTGAGATCACCCAACCATAACGGAACCGATTGTGACTGAACTTTTGGAAGGCCTATAGAGCTTGCCTAGAAAGAAGAAAATGGCACAGGCATCAAAAATCCTTCGGCGTTATGTAGGTTTCAAAATCGACGTGTGGGCTAAAATAGTTCCATCAAAAACCTTGGTTAATAGACCTAATATTCTTGGTAACTTTATTCGTGAGAAATAGGACATTTCCACTATAAATCCAGACCCAATTCCATTTTGGGGATAACTATGGCTAACAGGTTTCACCTCATTACCAAAAAAAGGCAGACAACTAATTTTTTTCTTTGGAAAAAGAAATTGCCGAAAGACCACTCCTGTACAAAGTATCTTCTATTATTATTTTTCAGAAGATCACAGTATATATAGGGACATAATTTCTTGTTTCGTTAGATTGGAAAAATCCCCGAAACTAAAACACCAGTTTTTCAAATGAAAACCCCCATATTATTTTTTACACGGAGAGATGATGAAATTTGCTATTTTTCGAGGTTAGGTATCTATCGTCATTTTTACGTAACTTGAATTATAGTATTTAAATGTATTCAAGATACAGGATGTTCTATATTTGAAAGATTAAAGTTAATGCTATTCATGCGGCATGGTTGAAAATATAAATCAGAGAGCATATTTATTTAAGTGACCACAATATCAAAAAACTTTGTTTATTAGTTATCTATGAGCGTCTCAAATAGGCCAAGAATCATAGTGAATCAGTGGTCGTCAAAAAAAAAACAATCAAAGATCGCTTTGGTTCTGAAAACGTACGTCGCATTATTGTTTCATTATTGGTCAGGATTTTTGAAATGACATTAAGGATCATTGACAAAATTAAAGAGAAATATGGCTAAGACATACGTTTAAAAAACAATAGCAATCTGCTTTGATTGTTTTTTTTTTTTGAAGACCTGATATATACCTACCTACCAACCGGCAACCTGTACTCCTATTCATGCAACTAAAAATAAAAGGTAACGTGGTTGAAGAAATAGATTTCCCAATGACTTGAAACTGCTCAATGGCATAATTCAATCATCCACATAATTCAAAAGCAAAAAAATCTTAATCACATTTATTAAAAAATTTATACAAAAAATAAATAACTTGAAACTTAATTGATAAACTTAAGCATTTTTGTTCTAAAAAAAAATAAATAAAAATATTTGTACAGTTATTTTAACATCTCGTTTCTTCACAATGAACAGAAACGCAGCATACTATCGGATTTCTAGAAAATAAAATAATAAAAATCAACCTATATTCTCTAAAATTTGCCTGCATAATGCTTCTCAAAAATGACGATAATTACCTGAACACATATCCATACATGCTTTCTTCGAAGAAAAATTGTTACCGTTGCCGTCACAGCCTCCAAAACCGAATTCAAAGCATTTCCCTGAACTTGGATCATACCTCCATCTCATTATCAATGCTCGACAATGTCCTTTCACTTCGGGAAGTCTACACATTACGTCTGGTAAATCTGCGAAATTATTATTTAATAATAGTGAATTCGACCATCTAATAATATATGCAGACATTGTATAATAAGTTACACAAAAAAAAGAAAGTGGTTTGGTTGTTATTTTAAACATACTATGGTCTTGCATACTTTGTTTATTTTGGAGTTTTCGTTTCTAACTTTTCAATTTTGGATAATATCCTTAAAAAGCATTAAATTTTTGAGGAATTGTTATATTAACGGTCACTTCTGAATGAATTGAATATTTACAAATACCTAACTAATAATAATTATGTACCTACTTTCTTAAAAAATGTATCAATATTGTATGTATCATCATTCGTCAAATGAAGTTAAAATAAGTAATAAAAAATATTCATTCAATTTGCTATGAGATGGATAGGAGTCGGTACCTAGTCTATAAAATGAAAACACAGGATAGGTCCCTAAGCAGACTTTGCCTAAGCTATTAGAGCTGCAGTGAGAAAAATATACACTCAAAAGGGTGAATTACTAAACAAAAACATTCAATTTGCTTTAGGTAGTTTGAAACTAACTCTTGAAAATGTTCGACCTAGTAAAATTAACCAAGTTCCAAAATGCGAAACACTAACCTCTGTTCAAACTTATTTCAAAATAATGTCAAGAAGTTCCTGTATCATTAATTTTAAATAAACAAAAAAATTACCTTCCGTATAAGAACTTGCAGGCCTCGATGCAACTAAACTTAGACTAATAGCCATAAGCACCAACAAACAAAATAGTTTTACTGCCATTTTAACTTTTAAGCAGGAACAAATAACTGTAAAGACACCACTGTATCAATATTGTTTACTAGGTATCACCACAGCTTTTGCAGAATGTTCGCTTCTTCGCCGAGTCTAGCAGATATAATGTGAAAATGCAACGACCACCGTCATTGTAGAAGAAAAAACTGGGTTTTCCTTGATGGGATTTACTGTAAACATCGATTTGCTATTTGCTGAAAGGACGATTGCATATCAGCACCGCACGTGGCTCCCATGATGACTTGAATTTTAATTGCATTGTGAAAAACTTTTTTTTTCAATGCGCGATAGTTAAAAAGAGATAAAATGTCACGAAAAAATCGCAATGTCTTTATCTTAAACATAAGAGCATTTGTTGAAATTTTCAGTACCTAGTTTTAAATGTATAATAGGTATTTGATTACTAAATCTCGCGTTGGTAATTGTGATTTTGAAATAGAGGAGTTTAATTGATGAATGTTGAGTCTCACAAGGAAAGAATAAAACGCGTTATGGAAAGGTTATTACAACATTGGATAGTATTGTAGTTTGTAATCAAGTTCTTTTATTACACCCTTGTATATGGGCAATTCTGTTTCTGTAAAAAATAATACACCTGTTATATGTCATGTGGGTTTATCAATGTCACGAGATAGTTTTTGGGGGCTTGCTGCTTTTGTTCAGGAAAAGTGAATTAAAAGTTAACGGAAAAGTTTAGATCTGTTGTTTGATTGTAATCAGGAAGCTGCGTGGAGTTGATTAAACTTGAGGTTATGGGCCCAGAGCTGATAACAATCGTTTTGTTGTGAAAATTGAACGCTGGAATTTTTGGCGGAAGTTTTATGGAAGGTTAGTCAATTATTAAGCTCAAATTTAAAATGGATAAACAACAGAATGTTTATTTATTATTATGTTGTATGTGAAACCATTCGATGGAAGCTCTTTTTCAAACTGGGAATTTAGATTAAAATTGTTATTGGAACAACAAGTCTACTTAACGAAACACCCCCAGATCCTACAAATACTGTTGAGTATGAGAAATTCCAGAAATCAGATGTGAAAAATAAAGTTATATTAATACAGTGTGTAGCTGACAAAAATTTAATATGAAAATTTGTAAATTGAGATATGACAATGGAGGAAAGTATACTTCTCGTGATTTTCAGGATTTTTGCAAAACAAAAGGAATATTAATTCAGTATAATGTTACCTACAACCCTGAGCAAAATAGGGTTCCTGAGCGCTTTAATCGTTCAATAATGAAAAAGCTCGATATTAAATGTTTGATTCGCAGCTTGAAAAATATTTATGGGGTGAAGCTGTTTTAACATCAATATATTTAAGTAATAGCACAATGACTAGAGCACTGAATGACAATAGAACTCCAGCTGAAATTTGGTATAGAGAGAAGCCTGATTTTGAGAAAATTAAACTTTTTGGTTGTATAGCATATAATCTTATACCTAAGGAATTAAGAAAATCAAAATTAGATTCACATTGTGAAAAATTAATTATGATTGGATATGCAAACAATGGATTATAGACTCTGGAAAGTCAAGGTTATTCATGGAAGGATTGTTGTTTTTGAAGAAACTAAAGAATTGAAACAACCAAAAGTTTATATAGATGATAATCCAGAACAACAGGAAAATAAAGAGGAGAAAAATGAACAAGGAATAGATGGAAATAAAATGGAAGAAAATTTGAGAATGGCAGAAAAAGTTGGAAAAGTGGAATAAACAAATGAAATATCAAACGTAAGAAGAAGTTCACGAAATAAACAACTATCAAGAAGATTACAAGACTATGATCTTGCAAATGGAGAGTTCAATCTTTTTACAGCATTATCAGCTGGAAACTTATTAGATGAAATGCCACAGACTTATGCAGATGCTGTAAGAATAGACAAAGGATGGAAAAATGCTGTTAGCGGGAACTAGTATTGCCACCTGAGAATGTCGAAATTATTGACTCAAGATGGGTTTTCTGTGAAAAAGTAGTGGATGGAAAAGTGAAAAAGAAAGCACGATTAGTGGCTCGTGGATTTAAGCAGAGTGCATTCAGTGAAGACGTATAAGCACCTGTAACACGTATGTCTAGTATCAGAAAATTGTTGTCTTTATTCATTGAATATGATTTGTATGTAATTCAACTTGACGTGATTTTTGAATGGAACTTTGAATGACTTAGTTTTCATGCTACCTCCAGAAGGTTTAAACGTTAGTAATCAAAATTTAGTATCTAAATTGAAAAAGGCACTTTATGGTTTCCGCTAAGCACCAAAGTTCTGTAATTCTCAACTTCATTCATTAAATAATAATGAATGAAGTTGGGTTTTCACAGATCTAAAAAAGACCCTTGTTTGTATTTTTTTCATCAAATTTTTCTTTTAATCCATGTAGATGATTTGATCATATTTTCTGAGACTCAAGAAAATTTAGATTCCATAAAAATTATTTCAGCTAAAAGATTTAAAATGAGAGAGTTAAACATGATAATACTAAATTTTCTTGGATTACAAATGGAGAGACGAGGTGATATTAAACAGACTGATTTGATAAACAAAGTGATGTATAAAATGTTGGGCTCTAGGCCGGATTTGAGTTTTTCAGTCAATTTCAGAATTGTTTTATTATTGAACATTGGAATCAATAATCTTAAACATATTTTGAGATATTTGAAGCAAACTAAAGATTGCGGTTTGAAATTTTTAAAATCAAAGGATTCTAATGTGCATATGTAGATGCTGATTTCGCAAATGAAATTACAGACAGTAAAGGTATTTCTGGATTTGTGATTAAAATGAATCAAAATATTATTGATTGGAAAACTAAAAAACAAAGTATTGTTGCGCTTTCAAGTGCCGAATCAGAATACATACATACATTGTCATCATGTATAAGTGACTGTTTTTTTTTTGGGACGATTATGTTCAAAGATTTTAAATAAAAATATTTTTCCTATATATGTATATGAAGACAGTCAAGCATGTATCAGAATGGCTTCGATACTGGAAAGAAGACGTACAAAACATATCGATTTTAGACATTATTTTGTAAAAGATTGTGTGACTCAGCAGAAAATTGTATTGAAATATTTATCAACAAATGATCAACCAGCAGATATGTTAACTAAAGCTTTGACTACTACGAAGTTTGTAATGTTTAGAGAGTGCCTAAATATTGTTAATACCACATGTTAAAATTTATTCTAAAATAAGTTGATCCTTGGTTGCTTAGGTTATGTTTATTTTTATTTTTATATTTGATAACACAGAATTGGATACAGAATTGAGGGGGAGTATTGTAGTTTGTAATCAAGTACGTTCTTTTATTACACCTTTGTATATGGGCCATTCTGTTCCTGTAAAAATAATACACCTGTTATCAGTGACGTGCGGTGGTCTTTAGAAATACGGAAGCGGCGAAGAGAGGTCACAGGTCAATCATTTTTCTAGAACCATGCATATAGGTACAATTGTAATTTTGCAACCGGTAAACCATTCAGATTTCTCATAAAATCTCACGTGAAAATGCTTCGTGAATTTCTTTGCCGACTTCTCTACTTTCGTTTCTAAATAAATAGGATCCATAGCCTACCCGAATTAATAATCTCCCTTTTCTCTTCAAAGTTTCGACTAGAAAATGCTTTATTCCTGCATTGCAAAAAAAAAACAACCACGAAAAACCTCAGAAAATTCAATAAAAAACACAGCACTACGATTGTGTGCCATGGCCGCTAAATGGCACCAATTGGCGGCATCGGATTTTCAATGCAAATCGAGATAAAATAAGTGGAAGGCGGCCGAACGAGCGCTGCCTTGGCTACTGAATTCGCACGTTTTCGCCCGCCGGCAGGCGTCGTGTATGGAGCCAAAGGGTCAATAACCCCTTCGTCCTCTTCAAAGCGAACAGCAGCGATTTCCAGACGCGCTTCCAAGCTTGGGCCGGCCGGGCTCGACGCGTTGCCACAAATATTGGTTGCGTTTACGTTTTCGCAATGAGCTTTTAATACATTTATATCCTACTGAACTATTAAAACCATATAATACCTTGGTTACGATAATCATAAACAGGGTCTTAACTCCCAAGGGAGTTAAGGAAGGGAGTTAAGGATATCATAACTCCCAAGGGAGTTAAGGATTTCCATAACTCCCGCTTTTACCTTGAATAGGTAACACTTTGACAAAAAATAGAAATTTTGATTTATGGCTTATTCCTTTATAAAAATAGACAGAATACAGTAAATTCAGTAGGATATAAAATTATCTATGTACCACGGGAATTATCAGGAGTTAATACCCACGGGCAATTGGTGTCCCTCGGGCCGGAGGCCCTCGGGACACAAACGTTGCCCTGGGGTATTAACACCTGCATAATTCCCTTGATACATAAATAACTATTACGTCATGTTTCAGAGAAAATAATTACTAAATTATTGTTAATTGCTATACATTATAAATTAATAAATAGTAATTTTTTTATCTCCCTAAACTCAAAAGTTTAGGGAAGCGGTGCTTCCCCCGCTTCCATGGACCGCACGCCTCTGCCTGTTATGTCATGTGGGTTTGTCAATGTCACGACCCACATAACAAAATTGCATCCTTAGAATGTAATAGGAATGTTCTTTTTTTAGGTGGAATGCACCTAGAATGTTCGCCAAAACAATTGCGAATGTCCTGAGAATGTTCTGAGAAAAGATTGTAGAAATACTGTTTGCAATACCCAAGAACTTCCTGGGAAATTCATTAGGATATTCCTAGAATATACCTTTGAGATTCTCAGTACATCCTGAAAAGAATATTCCTGTTAGATTCTAAAAATATGCTTGAAATGTATATTCTCACATTCAAAGAATGTTTTTATGACATTATAGTTATGTTCTCAAAAGAATAATATACCAATATGCTTGAAATATTCTTAGAATATATCTACATACTACATATATCATTCTCAATATGCATCCTAGACATAACATTCTTGTTTGATTCTAGGGATATACTAGGAATGTTAATTTTCGCTTCCAAATAATGCTCCTTTCAGTCCTTTTATATTAAAGGCAGTGAAAGAGTTGTTGGAAAACTTCTCTAGAAAACACAAGTCTTTAACCAAAGCTACGGTTTCGAGCTTGTTATGCTCTCGTCGCGGTAAGCACGCCAACTGAGAGAAACAGGTTCCAAGGTAATTCATGGCCATTTGCATCGCTATCACTTGAGGGATATTAAGGGATATTCAATTTAAGTGGAGC